ATATGTAAAGAATCCACTTACATAGAACTTCTGTACCCATAATGAACTTCTATGTATTTACAAATAAAAGACTGACATGGGTACCTCATTCTGGCAGGCACTTTGAGGCTATAGATTTTGCTACCTGGTGAGAAAGGACTGCTGGATACAAAGAATGCAGAAATAAAGACTACCCAGAGGTGGCGCTGTGGTTAAAGTCCATCTGAATTTTGATTACAGTCAATAGACTTCCTACCCCTCAAAAAAGATGTTAGCTTACCACTTTCGTATTTCTAGAACCACAACATCAACAAATAAAGGCAGTATATTCCCACCCACTTCAGTTTCCAGGAACATGTATGAAAACTTCACACACATTTAGAACCAAAACATTAAAACCACCTCTCAAAATGTAGGCCCCTTATAGCCCAGAGATCTATAATCAAAGTTCTTTATTTCCCTCCACAAAAACTAAGAAAAATTCCATGACATCTAAAACATTCTTGGTTAAATTTCTATTATTTCATTTTATAATTAAACCTTCATTTTAGTGTACATACTTTAGAAAATACTATAATTCATTAGCAGACGTAGATGTTACATATTCTATTAAAAAAATCGTCTAAAAAGGAAAAACAAAGACCATTTAATTTCTTCATTTACATGAGAAAATCAAAGCCCAGAGAAGGGAATCTACTTGCATATGGCAACTTTTAACATAATAATAGCTGCCACAAAAATCTTGTTCAAACTGGTCAAGGTGGTGCAGGCCTGAAATCCCAGTACTTGGAAGGCAGAGGCAGAAGGATTGTCCTTTGAGGCCAGCGTAACAAAACGCTTAAAAAATAAACCAACCAACCCACCTCGTGTTTATCTAGTTTGGGTTGATATAAATTATTTTAAAAATAAATAAAACCAGTTGTTAAAACATATTATTTAGGAGCTTTCTCTCCTTTGCGCTTTTTCCTTTCTTTCTCTTTTTCTTTTTGTCTTTTTGAGACGGTCTGCCTGTAGCCCCACCTGTCCTAGAAGTCACTATGTAGACCAGGCTGGCCTTGAACTCATAGAGATGCACCTGTCTCTGCCTCCTGAGTGCTGGGACTACAGGCATGCACCACAACGCCCAGCCTTGTTTTGAGCTTTTTTGACTATCCTTTGGGGAACATCAGATCTTTTGCAAATCGGCCTTCATTCATCACGTCCACCGCCAGCTATTTTCTGTACAGGCATTCCAATTATTATGATCATTTCGATGATTTTACAAAAATGCTTTTAATATGTGCACAAGGTGAAGTGATTATAGCAACGCAAAGTTAAATACAAACCAGTAACAAGAATTCTTATAACTTTTACATGCTAGGAATTCAAGATGCTAGAACCAAGAAATGAGTAAGTTGGCATTAAAATCGACCTCTGCCTGGCTTAATAGACGCTATTTATTCTTTCTTTTGCAAATCTAATTTTGGTGGTTTAAAGGCCGAAATCCTGCAAACAGACGCTAACCCTGTAGAGGATTCTTCCCGACTCTCCTTCAGCTTCCGTTCCTCAATCTCGCAGCGCTGTGTGTAATACAATATGAAAGCTTGTCCCACAAGGCTGGTTTTAGTTAATGATACTTAGCAGAAGGGCTTCGCACTTCCACGATAAATTTCCAACAGAAAAATCTCTCTGGAACTTTCTACTAGTAATCAGACCTAATATTAACCTCAGATCGCATATTTATTAAACCTATTTGGCCGAGTAAAGTTGAATAACTAGGCATTCGAGGATCTAGGCCCTGGAAAGGGGCTTTAAGGCTAGCATTTCTGAAATCTTGATACTAGAAACAACATTCGTCTCTTCTACATGTGGTCGTAAGATTGCAAATCTAGCAAATGCTTCCAGTGCTTGCTTTGTGTGTGGTGTGGTGGTAGTGAGGGGTACGAGTCAGCATCTCCTTAGTCCTTCACACTGGAGTGTTGGAGCAAAGCTTTCTCCATGAAGTTCTCTTCAACTCTGAAAACCAGGACTGTGATCTGAATATCCCCAACGGTGGACAGACATCGGCAATGCCTACTCCACCCAGTTTCCACAGGGTCAGTGGGTGCAGAGGGGGTTAAGCAGTCTGTAGGTAGGAACTACTTCTTTCCCTGTCTCCTCCCTCCGAAACTAAACTTCCACTGGGGTTCAGAAGCCTCCAACCCCGCGAGTTCAACTAAACACCACCTCTTTGGCTCGTGTGTTAAGTCCCACCGCCTGGAGGCAAAAAGCATTTTCTTCCCCAACAGGAAGAGACCCCTTTCTGGGAAGAGCAGCCGCGAAGTAAGTTTCCTGAGCTAAGATCGCAGGGCCCAGCAGGGCGAGCCCAGGGGCGGGCCTACGCGTCCCCGCGCGCTGGGCAGGTCAGGTGTGGCCCGAAGTCGGGGTGCGGCCCCCGGGCCACCCGGCTCCCTGCTTCCCACCTGATCCGGGCCCTAGCCGCCCCGGGCCGGGCCTCACCGCCGCCTCCCCGCTCCCCCCGCCCCCCGAGTCTCGTTTCAGTCATTCCCTTTGTCCTTCCCCGGATTGGCAGGTTTTATTATTCCGCCTGAACAATCCGGCCGCCCAGTGGCTGAGGGTCGCTGACGTCGGCGGCAGAGCCGGGGAGTAGTTGGGATTCTGCTCTGTCAGTAACACATGTGTACGAGCCGCGGAGGGAGTGAGCGAGCCGGCTAGAGGCCAGCGCCGCCGCCTCGGAGCCCG